AAAAAAAAAATTATATAAAAAATTAAAAAATCAAACCCCTCAAACTCAGACTAGAATCTATAACAAACAGCGGCGAGGTGCCCGATAAAATTATGTACTTTCTTTCCGTCTTTCTTTCTTTTAAAAGCACAACAAGTGAAAAAAAACAACAACAAGCGAAAATAGAATGATAGAAAGCAATAACTCAATCATGTATAGCGGGGAATAAAACCCCTCAAAACAAAACAAAACAAAACAAAACAAAACAAAACCCACCCCAAACCCACCCCAAACCCCGCGTAATAATACATGTAATTCGTACTCTGGCAGGTGAAACTAGACTACGATTCGCGAAAAAACAATATATTGGAGTGTGCCCTTATATAGGCTAGTGTGGTTCGCTCGCTGTTTCCCGCCATCAGACATCTTATAATATCGTCCATATCTCCTTCTAGTGTTTGTCATCCGTTTACATCCAGCACCTATATCTTTGCCAACTAAAATAGGCTAGTACTTTCGGACCATCCACCTACATGTAGGCTAGAGTCGGAATTGTCCACGACGGTCATCCCATTGTCGCGGAGAAAAGTTGCGTTGACTTAGAATCTAGGCATCATGGTTAGTGTCATTTTAATACAAAAACCCACCCCAAAAAACAAACAAAACAAAAAACAAAACAAAAAAACCCACAAAGGGAAAGGGGGGGGGGGGTGGTGTCATTTGAACACATTTGTACAGGAGATTGTCTTAGACAGGTGGCCGTACAACATGTTCGACTGAATTTTTCGCGGGTGGTTGGAGGGAGCCACTGGTAAGTCCTACTTTTAAAAATTTCCCTGCACTAAAGATTAAAGAAAATTTAATGACCATTGCTTCTCTTTAGATCTACTCAAACTCGAAACTCAGACTGCATTTCCAAGCAGGACATAAAATAACACCTGCCACTACCTGGATGATCCCGAGCTCCGACCGACCAAAAAGACCAATAAGCGCCCAATGGCGGGAGATACCTTCGTGTTTGGCAAGCACTGAGAAAGCATAATATTAAGCCATGCGTATTTTAAGTTATAGTAAACACGCACACACAACACACGACACACACACAGTATAATATAGTGGCGTTCAAAAGAAACTTAAAAATCTAATCACTCTATCATCGTGTAATTTTTACAGCCTTGCACTAACCATTCATGCAGCATACCAATTTAAAGCTAAATTAATTTTTCATCATCTGATGCATTCACATCTATGTTAAGAAACGCCCGATTTGCTCACTCAAAATTGACCAAAAATTGGGCGTGGCAAAATTGTGCGAAAAACAAAGAAACGTAAAAGTGTCTTCGCACGTGTATTTAGGAGCATAAACATTGCTGAAATGAGAATGTATTGAACATCTAATGAAAAGTTATGGTGTCTCTGAAAAGAACAGCATCTTCTGGAGATATTTTCAAACAGATTGGAGAACAACGCAGTCACACATAGCACGCAAAACCTGGATTTAACATATTATATTGTGCTCATTAGTGTTATTTTGTTTTTGTTTAGCAGCTTATTGGTTTCATGTAGAGCTAGAAACCTTTTCTGCACATGAACTATGTTAGTTAGATTTTGGACATAATCATCTGTCAGTGATGAACAGAGGTCACGATATTATAGCCATGGGTTTGAGTGGTCTGAGGTGGAAAGAACAAAGCCGCCCTCGTGAGAATCACTGGATGGCTTGGATTAGTGGACTACATCGTGCAAGTGCCTGAGAGGTATGTGATCTTTGAATTATTTTCGCCATGGTGTCATTCAAGTAGGCATCTCCAAGCATAGCAAAGCGCTTACACTTTCCAACAGAGCCAATGCCACTTGACAACTAAATCATTTCAATGTTGGAG